AAATGTATTTATTATATTGAGTGACATATTTATATATTTACAATATAAATATATTTACAATATATTTGATATATTTGACATATTTACAATATAATTCATGACATATTTATATATTTACAATATAAATATATTTGATTGATTGAATTTTACAAAATGGACATAGTAATTGATTTTACATAATAGCTACGAGATAATTAGTTAATTAAAAAACTAAAATTACGAAATTCATTAAGACAAAATGTATTTATATTTTATTGTAAATATAATTATTGTATGGGAACTAATTAATGTTAAATCAATTTTCTTTTATATTATAAACAAAGTTTTTGTTATAGTTTAATTACAAAAATAATTTTTAATTATTTGTTTTAATCTGTGCATGCACGGGTATCATGCTAATATATATGTATATATATTCTTTTTGGATAAATAGCCCACAAATAGCACTGCATGATAGCCATCTGATGGATACAAGATTAAAAGGTTGGGATTGGGTACAATGACAAGCGAAGCGAAGGTGGCTAGGACATTGATGTGCATAGGTGGGACCATGTTGCTCACTTTCTACAAAAGGCAGAGCTCAACATCTAGGTCAACCAACGTTGACCTTTTGCATCACAGGGGTGGACACGTGGAAAAACTACACCTACATGATTGTAATCACATGTTTGGAGTTTTATTGGTTGTGTCTTGTTGTTTCCTTAGTGCAATGAGATTGATTGTTTAGATGATCTTGCACCAACAAATTAAATAAAAAAGAAATTTACTTAAATGACCTTTACTAATGTCATTTATTCCGAATGTGTACTGCTTGTTGAGCCAAATAAGATTATCCGAGACTACCATTGTGTGTACTCTACCACTACTCTGATGATCACGATGGGAGCAATATAGGTCGTTGGATTTGCACTCCACATTGATAAAGACTGGAGTGAGTGAAAGTTGGGACGGAATCTTAGACTACTAGCTATTTCTTACTCGTATGTATCCTTGTACTAGAAGTACACATGCATGTGCAGAAATAAAAGACGATTATAATTGTCATTTAGCAACAAAAAATTTGACTATACTTGGAAAGAAAAAAAAATGATTACTTCACAAATAAATTGTGTTACTAACTTAAGCCAACTTATATTATTCTTATGGTATAATCATTTTTTTTATAATTATTTTCAAGTATAGTCAATTTTTTTTGCTAAATGACGATTACAACCGTCTTTTATTTCTCGACATGCATGTGTACTAAATGTGTGATTCTAGTACAAGGATACATATCGAATAAGTGACAACTAGTAGTCTGAGGTTCTATCCCAACTTCCACTTACTCCAGTCTCTAGCCGTGCAGAGTGCAAATCCAATGGCCTGGATTACTCTCATTGTGATCATCAGAATAGGGCTAGAGTACATACAAGGGTATAGTTCCAGATCATCTTAGCCTGGCCCAACAAGTAGGACACATTTGGAATAAATGACATTAGTCAAGGTCATTTAAGTAAATTTCTTATTTGTCATTTTAATTTTTTTTTATTTAATTTGTTGGTGGTTGTTATTGCAATAGCACGTGAACAATCAATCTCATTGTAATAGAGAAACAACAAGACACAACCAGGCTAAATGTGGTGTTGCCACATGTCCACCCTTGCGATGCAAAATGTCAACGTTGATTAACTTAGATGTTGAGCTATGTCCCTTTGTAGAAAGTGAGCAACATGGCCCCACCCATGTACATCAATGTCCCAGCGACTTTCACCTTGTCTGTCATTGTACGCAATCTCAGCCTCTCCATCCTGTACCCATCATACCTAACCCACTCTACGTGGGTGTCGGTTAATTGGTGATGTGTTTGGGTCGTCATGATGCAAAGACAATTGGATGAAGGTAGCTACTAGTGGATCAAGGAGGTGGTGATGGTGGGTTGTCAATTTACACAGAGAGTATGAATACGAAATAGAGGGAAAAAGAGGAGATGGGTGCAAGTCGAGCTAGGCTAGGTGGGATTAGGTTTCATGGGTGATTCATGTTGACCGCAAAGGTGGTGCTCGGTAGGGGCAACATACGGCGGCTAGCTGGTAGTGTTCGTAGTAGAGATTGTGCGCCATATGCGTGTTTAATGGTGTCCCTATGTAAATCATATCCACCATCCAGTGTTGAAATTAATGATGTTTGGTGGTGAAGACTAGTTCCTGTTGGTGGTAGTGAGTTAGCTACATATACAAGTGTATTATGGGTTCTATATATACAAGTGTAAATCAGACCTATAGAGATGAGGCTGGGATTGTACATATGCATATAGAGAGAGATTTGGCATTGTGGTGGAGGGAGATAGGGAAGATAGAGAACACTATGCATGGGTTGAAGTCAGCAATGATGGTGGTGGTGGTTCAGGCTGCATTGGCAGGAAACAGTGTACTTTACAAACTGGCTTCGAGTATTGAAATGAGCATGAGGGTCTTGATTGCCTATCACTTTGTCTTTGCTGCTGCCTTCATTGTCCCTTTCACTCTACTCCTTGAAAGGTCCTCTAGCTATACATACGAAATAGAGGGAAAAAGAGGAGATGGGTGCAAGTCGAGCTAGGCTAGGTGGGATTAGGTTTCATGGGTGATTCGTGTTGGCCGCAAGGGTGGTGCTTGGTAGGGGCAACATATGGCGGCTAACTGGTAGTGGCCGTAGTAGAGATTGTGCGTCATATGCGTGTTTAATGGTGTCCCTATGTAAATCATATCCACCATCCAGTGTTGAAATTAATGATGTTTGGTGGTGAAGACTAGTTCCTGTTGGTGGTAGTGAGTTAGCCACATATACAAGTGTATTATGGGTCCTATATATACAAGTGTAAATCAGACCTATAGAGATGAGGCTGGGATGGTACATATACATATAGAGAGAGATTTGGCATTGTGGGTTGAGGGAGATAGGGAAGATAGAGAACACTATGCATGGGTTGAAGTTAGTAATGATGGTGGTGGTGGTTCAGGCTGCATTGGCAGGAAACAGTGTACTCTACAAACTGGCTTCGAGTATTGAAATGAGCATGAGGGTCTTGATTGCCTATCACTTTGTCTTTGCTGCTGCCTTCATTGTCCCTTTCGCTCTACTCCTTGAAAGGTCCTCTATCTATACAATATATGTGTTTTTGGGTTTTGATCTTTTTTATTTTATTTTTATATAACGGGTTTTGATCATTTGAATATATATATACATTTTGTTTTCTTTTTATTCTAGAAAATATGGAAATTTGTTTAGTTTTGTTCCTTTACTATTGGGTTGTATTATTTCCAGGGCCAGAACTAAAAATTCATTTGCAGGGGCCAAGATACGAATAATTTTTTTTATATGAATTGATATAAACTATTTTTTTTTTTTTTGAATTCAAAAAATAAACTAAAATTTAATATTAAATTAGTACATAAAAAATAAAACAACCATATATATAATGAATTTAATATATGAATAAAAGTAAAGTCAAGTATTAAGTAATTATTTATAGAAATCAACTCAATCATCTATTAAAGTAGAATTCAACGTTCTTAATATCTCGAAATTGTTCAATGATTGACTCCGTAATAAAATTTAAAATTTTCAACAATTTTCTTTTCAATATATATAATTAAAGAGTATAAAAAATTCATCTTTCATTTTATTGTGAAGTCTAATTTTCATGACTAAAAATGATTGTTACATAATTGTAGAAGAAAAAGAAGGGATCCTTCTTCATTTTTTTTTTTTTTTACTTAAGCCATCTAATGGCTAAGATGGAGCTCATACTACTTGACAATGACAAAAGCAAAAGCAGGGTCATCTTTTCTAAACAATTATATATTATGAATATTAGGTTCAAAAGTTATGTATATTAATAATTTTTTTTTTTTTAATTTCAGCGGGGGCCGGGGCCGTGCCGGGGCCCCTGTTGGTCTATGTGTGGTCCGTCCCTAATTATTTCATGAATCTACAAGAGAAATGAAATGAAAAAAATAAAAATAAAAATAAGAATAAAAAACAAAACAAAACTTATACACATGCATATATATATTGTTGTATTTGTTGTAACATTTGTGTTTTTTGTTAGAAAAATAATAGATTTTTTGGTGACTTAGTGGGTGTCAATCTTCAATAGAGGTGGATTAAAGTGGATTTAGATTTCTTGTAATGCAATCTTAACACCATAAAAAGAATGATCAAAAAATCATTAAGAGTTGAATGAGAAATTGACTCATTAAGTTGGCCTCATGAAAGAGGTGTTGGGAAAGGAGTAAAATCTCATTTTTTGCCTTAGGGTGTGAGCCTTTTGGGACATCCAAATTTTCTAAAAAAAGGGAGTTATGGATGTTTCAAGGATGGACTTGGGCCAAGACTATGGTCCAAGTTGGTTATGCAAAAGCTGGTCCAACTATCGTATCCTAGAAGACAGACATCGAACAACCTCTAACACCCAACCGGTGAGGCGACGAATCTGTTTTAAGGACACTGTCTAGTGCAGGTTTCGGTTTGCTTCCTTTTGCTAGGTTTATTTTATTATGAATTTTTATAAATTCCATCGTGTTCTTGTTCTAAAATTCCAATTGTTTGTTTATTATGAATCTATTTGTTTTATGTTATCACACAATTTATACAACAAACTTGAAACAGATTATATGTTTATCATAGTATTACCAAATAGATTCATCTTTAACATTACAAGAAAAGTGGGATTTAACAGCGTTTATTTAATGATGTTTAAAAAAAATGCCTCTATTTCTAATATTTAACGGTATTTTTATAAACATCGCATTTCTTGTTTACTAATCCGGCATCGTTTTTAATTTCAAAAGTCGTTAAACACCTTCAAATGTTTTTTTTTTCTTTTTAATTTATGAGAACATAAATAGTGTATTCACTCTCTCTCTCTCTCTCTCTCTCTCTCTTAACCCTTGATTTCACTCTCTCGTTTCAAACCCCTTCATTTCACAGACAACCCTTCATATTTGTAGAGCCACAGCTGAACCCCTTCGTATTTGCAGATTGATTCAAGTATTCACTTCAAGCCTCATCTCTAGTTCGTGTTCGAGTTCGCAGCTCTTTCTTCATAGTAAGTGTTGATCAGTCTCATCTCTATCTTCTTATTGACGGAATCATTCGATTCAAGTATGCTAGGTTTCATCTACTTTATCATTCTTAGATCAGATTGAAGACCTATTGATTCAATTCAAGTATGCTAGGTTTCGATTGAAGATCTATTGATCGATTGAAGATCATAATGTGTATTGTAGATGTTAAAATTGAACACAAAATAAATACATACATACATATATATGAATAGATTGACAATTTTTTTTAAGATAGATCTCAATAAGAAATTCTGTAACCTTTTATATATTCATATGGATTATATGTTGAATTATGTATCAAATGAGTACAGCCAAGTCCAAAAACTGGCTATGTTTGCTTAAAACAACGGATTGGAATTCACTGAAGTGATGGTTTCATTTAATAGTTTATTAAATTTGATTATTTCAGCTGTTTGATTTTTTATTAGAGTGCTTGTCCAAGCTTCTCTCCAACTAATAGATTTGTTTGATGATGAGAAATTTGTAGCAATTTGTGACGTTGCATCATAGCCCTTTTAAGACTTCATTCATGACGAAAAATAGAAGATATTTTGAACAATTTGAGTGAGTTTCTTTTATCATTTATGCATAATAAGTTGTTGGAAACTTTAGACTTTATCATCCTAATAATATGAAGGTGTAGACACCCCATTAAATATGCATACCCTGTATATAAACAAGTTTTGTTCTGCCTGGTCATTAATATGCCAAGACTTCAAGCAATGAAGACTCCAAGAATGTATATTCATCCAAGCTTCTCTATATGCATACACCCTGTATTTTTTTTATTTTTTTTTTGTAGTGTAGTCGAAGTAAAAAAAGAAGATAAAGAGGCCAGTTATTTTTATTTTTGTATGTGCAGTTACGCTATTTAGCTCTAATTTGTTCGAACATTTTTAGGTGAAAGGTTCTCTGAAATTATTGGAAGCCCATATTACATGGCACCAGAGGTGCATAAGCCGAATTGTGGACCAGAAATAGATATATGTAGTGCAGGAGTAGTACTTTACATATTATTGTGTGGGGTTCCTCCATTTTGGGCTGGTAAACATATTCCTACAGACTTCTCTTCTGTCTGTGTGTGTCTCTGTTTCTGTGAGTGTGTGTGTGTGTGTGTCTTCATCCGTTTGATTTTTTGAACCATGCCTTCTTTTTATAGTGATAAAAACACTGAATGGTTCTTTTTTTAAAAAAAAATAATTTTTTTTTGAATTTTAATTTAATAATTTGACTTTTAGATGCAAAAGCTATGCCATTTAATATTATATTGGTAACTGTTGTTGATTACGGCTGCGTTCCCTTCTCCCTGTCTCCCTTATTGCTTGGTATAGTGAAGTGTTTCCATATAAATCAACAGATGGTATAAAATTTGATCTGTTTGCAGAGTATCAAATAAGATAAGAGACCTGCCTGTAGCATAGGTTGCAGAGTATTTGCAAATAAGATCCAAGACCATCTGATGCTTCTTCTGGATAAGGTGGCTGCTTATTAGGGTCATAACAATAGTCTACTTATGGTGACTGGATCATCACACTTTTGTCATTTGCCACTAGGCCACTTAATTGAGGGGAGTAAGGTGGCTATCCTTTCTATAAACATAATAATTTCTGAATGCAATATAGTATCCATGCTTCTATTTATATACATTTAGTACCTCACCAATTTTGTCATCCAAATTCTATTAGAGGTATTTACATGCTTTGTCTTATTTTTGGGTCCTCATACATGGCAGACTTGAGCTGGCATTCCCTCTGCTTTCTTCATTAACTAAAATTATTCATGTTTTACTAGATTTTTGTGGATGGTGAGAATTGGAGGTGGAGTTTTTTCTGTCATCAAGGAACCTGATTACCTTGTCAATGGCGAGTATCGTGTCTTTACATGCTTTGTCTTATTTTTGGGTCCTCATACATGGCAGACTTGAGCTGGCATTCCCTCTGCTTTCTTCATTAACTAAAATTATTCATGTTTTACTAGATTTTTGTGGATGGTGAGAATTGGAGGTGGAGTCGACAAAGGGGCAGCTCCAAAGATGTTGAACTGTCTAATGTAAGTTGCTGTAAACTACTGAGCAAGTTGCATGTATGTTGTATCAAGCATGCACATATTAACTATATTTTTTTGTGGTATGATTTTGCTTTTATCACTGTGTTCCAATAATTGTGAGCTAGACTTAGGAGAATCGCGTATGATCCTGTCATCTTGCAGAATAATTTGCCAAAATATAGCATGGGGTATATAATTTTAATATTTCAAGTGCCATTTAGTCATGTTGTATTTAATGGACCTTATTTCTTCTCAATCCTAGTTTTTCCAGAATGGCACTTGTTGCATTGAAAAATGCATGTCTTGCATTCTTCACGTATGGCACACACTGCAGGCATGTATAACATGTTTTAAAAAGAACCACATACATTCAGGCATGTATAACATGTTTTAATACATCTTTGATTTAAATCCTATTTTTTATACTTATATATTTTATATTTTTCTATTTAATTTTTTTTTCTTTATAAGTTTTTATCTTTTTCTATATTTATAATTATTCTAATATATTTTTTTAATTTCTTTATTTATTTTTTTACCTTTATAAATATTAATGTTGTGGTTTTTATATATATATATATAGAGAGAGAGAGAGAGAGAGAGAGAGAGAGAATTAATGTTAGCTTTTATTCATTTTGAATGTTTGGTAACATAATCTCATACATTTTCAATTGTGGTGGTTCTCTTTGATGGCATTGAAACGGCTTTTGAGTGTTAAGGAGGATGATGATGGCTCTTGGGAATCCAAACGAAGATTTACGTTTGCAACGTGAGTGGTTTTAGCTTTATGGTGGTTATTTTGTGCTTTGTTAAAATGTCTTGGTTGGTTTTTGATGTGTGTTTGTGATATTTGTCTCTCTCTCTCTTAAGCTCTTCCTTCCCGTCTCGCTCGATTTGGTTATTGAAATTGTAAGCAAGAAACTAAAAGTTTAATCAAGATTTGAACTTGTTATGATTTTTTATTTTATTTTATGACTCTTTTTGGGTGAGTTCTCTGTAAAGATGAGCTTTAGGCTTTTCTTGATTCCATTTAGTTAATTTGTTGTTACATGTTTTAAGTTAGGCATGCAATCATTCAGAAGTTGTCTGATCTATTGCTTATTTGTGTTGTGTGTGTGTGTATACATGTATAGAGAGGATCTAGCTACTTTTTTCTAAGTAATCTTGTTCTAGCCATCAATTTCGGAGGATAAAATTAGTTTTCATTTTGCCATTTCTGATGAGAATGTGAACATGTGGAATTCTAGATGGCTTTTTTAGCATGTACTAGCTACAAGGTAATCCTTCTGTTTCCGCAGTAAGTTTCCTGAACATTCTTTAGGATTATTGGTCTTTTTTTATTCTCCATGATTGAAATCCGGAAAATTGAATAATCACTGTGGCATTTAAATTGAACATATTACAAGGACAAATGACCATGTCGGACTTTTGTACCCAACCAAAATAGCAGGGACTAAAATGTTGTGAAGTTAAATGAACAACACTCAGTATTTTGAGTTTTTTCCTCTTCCAAAGCCCTTTAATGGCTCATCCTCAAATCTTGTGCGTGTAGAAACAGAGAATCCACAATGGCATGGATCACACTCTGACCTAATGACACTCAAATTCCTAGTAAGCTAGATCAATTTTGTTATTTCACCCACCCACCCCCTCTTTATGTATATACATATACATATATGCATATGTACACAAAATCAGTTCCGCACTCAAGTTAGAGAACATTATCAAGGGCTCTACTTCTATTTGAAAAGAAATAGGAAAATGCTCACTCTATATCTTTAATTTTATGTGAAAAGAATTAGCTTGTGAGGTGTATTATGTTAATGCTGAACTGATTTATATATGTGTCTTTATGTAATGTCAATCAATATATATATAAGCCTTGTTTGTCACAAAACTTCATTCTATAAATCATTTTCACAAAACTCCTTTTCTCTTTCCATTATTGCACCATTTTGGTTGTTCTGTTTCAGTTCAAGACATGAGTAAAGAAGAGTTCTTGAAGATCCAGGTACTCTTTTATAAATGATATATATATACTTATATACATATATGTATATATATAGGCATTCCCACACTATTATGTTGTTTTCTTGAAATGCATTGCTTGTTTTGAACTAAAGATTTGAAATACTCTTTACCTGTCATGTTTCTTTCTCTTATTTTCTTTCTTTCTTTACAATACATTTGCAATTGGTTTTGTTTGTATACAGATTTTCCCTTGATAAGCTAGGAGATTTTCTTTTCCTTTCCCATTTTCTTATTTGAATGAAATTTTTCTTTACTCTGTTTGGATTCCCTGATTTCATTTTTATTTCTGTTCTTTTATTGGCTTTGTTTTTTTTATTATTATGTTTTATGATTGGCAAAGACCGAGAGGATTGAAGGCCATGGAAAGCAGCATCGATAGCGATTCAGAATGACAATGAAGGATGTGGATAAGGGCTTTCCTTTGGATTCTTATTTCCCTTCTTTTTTCTTTTTCTCCTCTAATCTGATTGGGGAGTGTTTTGGTTCACTTTCTTCTTATTTTTTGTGTTACATGAGAGAGAGAGAGAGAGAGAGAGAGAGAGAGGGTAATATTATTTTGTGACTTCGAATACAAATTAGTAATTTTTTTTGTTGAGAATTGTGAATTTAATTTTTGGATATGTTATTTTGTGGGTAATGGTGATTGTATATTAAATTGAATGGGAAAGCGAATTAATGCTGCATTTGCTATTTGAATGAGAGTTATTATTTTATATTAGTGTTATTCAGTTTTATTATAGGTATTTCTTTAGTTTAATCACTTAAAATTTGCACAATTTCAAAAAAAAAAAAAAGAGGGATATCACGGCCTTACTCAAAATGTTTACTTAAATCCTAAATACTAACGGTCAGGTTTTTAAAAAAAAAAAGGTATGATAGCGTTACAAAAATGTCGTTAAATATTAGTGAGTCATAATATTGTTAAATAGAACATTTTTATGAACGCTGCCGGTATTAATCTAATGACGTCTTTAAAACGTCATGAATTATAGCAGCGGTTGCGATTTAACGTTTGGTATTAAACATTACCAAAAAAAAAAAATTAGCGATGTTTTTTTCACCTATAGTTGTATTTTTTTTGAATAATGTTTGAGAGCCACAATTTGTGTGGCTCAAATGGCTCAAAACTGTCAAAACGACGTCCTTTTGGCATGTTTTGTGCTCAAAACGACGTCGTTTTGACAGTTTTGAACCATTTGAGCCACAAAAATTGTGACCCTCTACCATTGCCCATTTTTTTTAAACGCTGCTAAATGTTGCTTTTGCAGCAGTGTAAGTACGCTGCTTTACCTGCTACGTTGACTGGGAAAAAAACAAACAAACAAACTGTTAACACCATAAATCTGCAATTTTTATTATTATTTATTATTTATATAATTGCAGGACACGTGGCATCCTCTTATTCATTTGGAAGTTAAAAGAAGTTATAGAGATAATGGAGAATATGAAGGACAAAGTGGATCAGTGGGAGGACAAAGTGGATGAGTGGAATGACACATGGCAAGACAAGAATGAAGATGGAAGAAATGGGTAGTTACTAAGTAGTTGTTGTTGTATTTTTTCTTCTATAAATAGCCATTAATGGCTACATTGTAAAGGATCCAGAACATAAATCAAAGACAATTGATTTCAATATTTCTTGTCATTTTCCTTATCTTAGGAGTAGTTTAACATAGATTTATATTTCGAAGCATTTTATGCACTTTCTTTTCGAAGCATAGGAGTAGAGGTAAGTAATTATTACTTTGATTGTTCACTCAATCATCTTTCTCCATCCCTTTTTCTTCTTTTACTTTTTCTTTTCGCTACACTTGGCAAATTTGAAGTCCTCTTTGTTGAGGCAAAAGAACCGTCAACACATTCGCTTGATAATTGGCTTGAATTTAATCTGTAAGGATTTTTCAATCCTTGCTGGCACGCTCGCATTTATGATATTTTCGTTCGTAGGAAAAATAAGCCAACACAGACAAAATTGGATTTGCATGCGCCTAGCACTGTTTGCATAGGAACACTGATTCAGTGGCCTTATTTGCTTAATAGATGTCTCTTATAAAATTTGGGTAATACATTATGATTATTTCTGGGAAAATAGTCCACCAGTTTTCCATGATTGTAAATTAGTAAATGCTATGTTCTAATTGTTTAATTTCATTAGAATACTTTTATTTCTAGATCTCTAGTAAAAATTGCATATTGATTGTTTTAGTATAATTTTATTCTATTAGCATGGTTCATGATTTTCTATCTTGTTTTGTATGTCTTTTTATTTTATAAATTTATAATATACTTTGCATGTTGATAAATGTTTAATTTTTTGTTAAAACAGACATGCTAATTGGGTTTTCCGTTTCGAGTATGATATACATGTGACTTATCTAAATCTCATTGTTTTTTTAGTGTAAGTTGCATGACATGTAGTATATAAGCTTTGTTTAATAACATGCTCATAATTTATAATGTTATAATACAATGTGCATGTTCAAAATTGTCTAGATTTTAATTGGTTTTGTTACATGCTTGTTATGTCTAGAATTGTTTACATGTGTTGTTTACATACTAATTGTTTTATAATTTCTAGAAATATTTATGTACATGTTTAATGTGTAATAAGTTTATATATAACTCTTGCCAATTTAAAGTTTTCATTTAATTGTGAAGTTACAAATTTTATTTTAAAATTTTAATTTAATTGCGGAGTTACAAACTTTATTTTAAAGTTTTAATTTAATTGTGAAGTTACAATTTTTTATTTTTTTTACCTCATCTAGCATTTTAATTCATTGGTTAATTTTATTGTTCACTAGTTGGCTAGATGGTTTCAATTAATTTATTATTTTTCATTTTGTTTAGATTATTTGGTTTGTATTTTCTTGTGGTTTTCTGCTAACTTTCTTTACAAGATTACCTATGAGAAAGAGATTGGAAAAACAAATACAAAATCAAATAAATAGTATTTGGATGTTAAAAACAAAAATGTTTGGACTACTAACCTTTGTCTGAACAGGAACACCTAAGTGTGGCAATAATTTTTTGGATTAATCGGTTCCTGTCTTTATCATTTAAGCAATTTTTTGCTTGAGATTTAGTAGTGGTTACTTGCCAATTTTTTAAGCAAAGTTGGCATATTAAAAGCATTTTATTTGCTTGTCATTGTTGTAGCAATTTTTTATAATGCTTGTAAGTTTGGAATTTGTTTGTTTTAACCTAATTTATCCCTTGAAAAACTTAATTCTAAAAATTGTTTCTCACGGATTAGGAGTCAACATGCTCTTGAAAGTTTTGCCAAAAGATTAACTGGGTTTTAAATGGGACCGATGTGACCCCTCCAGTCTTCCTAGGAATATTCTTGACCATGTTCGATTCTAGGTTAAGTGGTGAGACTAGTTTTGAATTAAATTTTCAACTATAGAATTTTCTAGTGTTAAGTTTAATTTCTCAAAACACAGAAAGTGAAATTCTGTTGTATTTTTCAGAAATGACAACTGTCGCTGATGTTGCTGCTACTGCTAATGTTGGCGGGGATCTAAACCCTAGGGCAACTGGCTTGCCAACCCCTACTTCTGTGACCTCTGTAGTCAACCCGATTGTTGTGACCTCTGTAATCAATCCTGTTGTTACTCCTATTGTTCCAGGAGGCCTGCTCAACCATCACGAGCGTCCAAAGAAGTTCACAAGAGTGAATTTCCAGAGGTGGCAGCAGAAGATGTTGTTCTACTTGACTACTCTAAACCTTGCGAGGTATTTGAGTGAGGATCCACCAGCCATGGAGGAGAATGAGCAAGACAAACAGAAGTTCATGGCTTTAGATGCTTGGAAGCAGTCAGACTTCTTTTGCCGAAACTATGTTTTAAATAGCTTGGCAGATTCACTGCTCAATGTGTTTTATGACAAGCTGAAGCTCATTGCTATTGGACGAGAAGCTACACTTGGGAAGGTATACATGTACATATGATATGATATTATTAACAACATTAACTAACTAATACTATTAAAATCAAATTAATAATATTAATGGATGGGTGTTATCTCCTTTGTCACATAAATAATTTTTTGCTTGATATATATGGACATACTTTGCTTCATTTGACCTAATTTTTTTTTATTTGTATATACTAATAGCGTACTAGGAGTTAGGGTAATAGTGTGTGCATTATATATAGTTTTGAGGGGAAAAGGTAAAGAGTTAAATAGAGTTACACAACTGATGCCATCAAAGAGCTTCAAAGAATCAGAACATATTGATATCATAGTCACTTATTTGACAGAAAGCAATAATGGAAGTGGTGACAACATCATAGCGGTGGAAGAAGAAGAAGGGGAAGAGATAACTTCAAAGGTAGAAGGGGTTTTCAATCTGGACCAAATGAGTTCACACAAGATAGTAGCAATCTGAATCTGTATTTGATTTACATTCGATTAGATTAATTTCGTTTGATTGACTGAAGAAATATGTTGATAAAATTGATTAGAATATGCTTATTGTGCCACCATTTGGTTCTTAGAAGGCAATTATTTGCTTCTTAGAGCAATTTCTGTTCAAGATTATGTTGAAAAAATAATGAATTTTTGGTGACTTTAATGCAATATTAAAGTGAGTGTCAATTCTCAATTGAGGTGGAGTAAAGTGGATTTAGATTGTTTGTGGTAAGATCTTTACACCACAAAAAGAATGACCAAAAACCATTAGGGTTTGAATGAGAAATTGACTCATTAAGTTGGCCTCATGAAAGAGGTGTTGGGAAATGTGTAAAACCTTGTATCCCACATTGATTGTAGAGAAGAGCATTGATGGGTATTTAAATCCCACTTTTCGCATAAGGGTGTAAGCCCTTTGGGGCATCCAAATTTTTCGAAGGAAGGGAGTTATGGATGCTTCAAGGATGGAGTTGGGCCAAGACTATGGTCCAAGTTAATTATGCTAAAATTGCCACACACGCGCGTGCCGCTCGCCCGCCCGAACCGGGCCAGGTCCGTGGATCTTGGGCTTGGGCTTGGGCTTGCTAGAATGGATTGAGTGTGGGGGTTGGGCTTGTTCCACCCGTCTTAATCTTTTTGGACCAAGCCAAATTTGTGGGCTGCAGATATATAAACACAAAACTTATGTGTATAGCTGGTAACTCCTCTATTGATGATGGACTTAAATGCAGGTTTAATACAGAATTCATTTTTGCATTTATCATGGGCCTTGATGGCAGGAGTTTTTTCCTCTATCCCTCCATGTGTATAAAAGGAGGCTCTCTCATTCCTTTTCATGATATAGAATATTTGTTCTTCTTGTCTTCAAAAGTTTTCCTCTAGTTTGTATATTACATTCTTCCTGTGAGAGAGTGCTGTAAAGTTCTGTTCGTCGAAACTACTCAGTCGGTGCATTGCTATACCTGGTCTAACCATCGCATCCTGAGAGACAGATGTCGAACAAGCTCTAACACCCAACCAGTGAGGCGATGAATCTATTTTAAGGACACTGTCTAGTGCAGGCTTTGGTTTGCTTTCCTTTGTTATTTTATTTTATTATGTTTTGTAACTTTCATTATGGTTTGTTTGTTCTGAAATTTTAATTGTCTATGATGAATCTATTTGTTTTATGTTGTCACACAATTTATACAACAAACTTAAAACAGATTAATGTGTTTATCATGAAATTAGATAGTTAGATTCATATGAAATTGAACAATTAGATTCATCAAGTATGTATAAGATTAATTGATTTTGG